TAGTTTAATGATGAGTGTATAGTTTAATAATGAGATTATAAGTGTATAGTTTGAATAAAACTGTGTAATGCCACCTAGTAGAAAATGTAGAGTTTAAGGTTTTAGAATATAATAATATACATACCAAAATAGGAGTTTTAAAGCAGTAGCTAGTCCTTCTTCCTCACCTTCTTCTTCATGAGTTTAAGTAGTATTGTGTAATTAAATAAAAAAGTCCACATTACAAACCACAAGTAGTTAGTTCAGCTAAAAATAATTTGTCATTTCTTAATTAGACAGTTTATCCTTAAAAGGCCTTATAAAAAGAAAAAAATACAAATCCATTTTTTTAGTTTGTTAGTAAAATACTATAAAACTCACAACTTATAAATACAGTATATATATGTAATATAAATACACTATATATATGTAATATATATAAAAACTAATCAACATCTAAGGCCAAACAAGAAATACCATTTCACACATTGAATCTCAACCTTAAAAAAAAAAAAAAAAATCCACAAGTTCCCACCTTTCACATGGAACTGGGGACCTGGCCTGGAGCTCGGCCTGGAGGCCAAAACTCTCAGCAGGCTTGAGGAGGCTCAAAGGAAGGAGGTTCAAACCTCTTGCAAGCTTTAAATACATTTGAATTTGAGGCTCGTGAAGGTCAGGACAGGCAGCAATTATCCTCAGAGCAGGAGCTTTTTCCGCATGACTGCCCTGGGTGCTGTTTGCAGCCCGGGGTCAAGGCCAAGCCCTCCATTAGTGCCCAGTCCTGGGGGAAATGAGTCCCGTGCTGGCAGCCAGGGGCAGGAGGAGCACGGGAGAGACCCTTGCAGAGCTCAGTGGTGGGAGCAGAGCCTGGAGCTGCTGCTGGGTCCCCTGGGGTGGGACCTGGAGCACCATGGAGCCCCGGTCACCGTGGGCAGGATGGGATGGCTTCAGAGCTGGGACCATCAGTGGTGCCACCTGGGTGTTGGGCTGAGGGAAATAACCCTGGTGAGGGCACAGGTTGGCATCTGTGGATGCCCTTTGTGGGAGGAACACAGAGTTTCACTCCCTGTCCAGGAGTCCCAGAGCCATCGAGGCCAGAAGGGACCTTCAAGGTCATCCAGGGACCTTCCTCATCCATCCAGGGCTGGGCAGGCCTTGCATGGACAGGGGAGGCAGCAGTGGGAGCTGGGGGCTCCTGTCCCAAAAAAATCCGACCCAGACAGGGATGGGAAAGTGAGTGAGGAGCTTGGGATGTCCCACCCCAGGGCCAGGAAACAAAACTGGGCCTGAGGCTGGCCTGCCTGCATGGACACTTCAGCAGTCTGAGGGCACCCGGGGTGCTCCCAGGAAAGCTGGATTTATGGGATCAAAGCAGCTCCCAGGGCGTTCCTTCAATCCTCAGAGCTGGGTCACCCCCAAAGTGTGACATTCCCATTCTCTGGACAGAGAGACACAATTCTATCTCTCAAAACTTTGAGGAGGGGACAACTTTGGTCTGGGGTCCATCCTTCGATATAAGGATTTTTTGAATTCAGGCCCCAGCCCAGTGCCAGGGGCCCCTGGGCACAACCTTTGGCCATTTTCCCTGGGAAAGAAAACTCACCAGTCCAGGTTGCTGATGTCAGTTTGTAGGGCTCCTTTGGGTCTATCAGGGCAGCACAAGTATGAGGAGGGGATTACTTCAGTTTGGGTTCCAAACGTCGATATAAAGATTCTTTGCAGTCAGGGCCCAGCCAAGTGCAAGGGGCCCCTGGGCACAACCTTTGGCCATTTTCCCTGGGAAAGAAAACTCACCAGTCCAGGTTCCGGATGTCACTTTGTATGGCTCCCTTGGGTCTATCTGGGCAGCAGAAATTTGAGGAGGGGACAACTTTGGTCTGGGGTCCACCCTTCGATATAAGGATTTTTTGCAGTCAGGGCCCAGCCCAGGTCCAGGGGCCCCTGGGCACATCCTTTGGCCATTTTCCCTGGGAAAGAAAACTCACCAGACAATCCTTGTCTCTGCTCCTTTGTTTTCCCCATGTGGAATTTGGTGTGGAGATTGTTTACCTGAAGTGATTGCTGGGTTGGATTCTGGTGAAGGTTGTTTGGGTTCCATGATCCAGCTGTGTCTTGACTTCCAGCAGACAGTCACGGGTTTGTTAGTTAGGTAAATAAGAAGTAAGTCTGTAGAATAGTAGAATATATCTTTAAATAGTATATTCATGTATTGTAGTATAGTTTTAATAAAGCAATCCTTCAGCCTTCTGATCTGGAGCCAGATATCATCATCAATTCTTCACTGAGCTGGGGTCGCCTGGTTTCTGATACCAAAGCACAGGGACAGCAAGGTGCTGTTAGGCACAAAGGGACCATTACCCCAGGTGCCCTACAAACAGCAGGCTGAACACTTGTTTTTAACATTTAAAAGTCCCAGCTGGGCCATCACAAAGGAGGGTGGCTAGCAGGGAAGAGGAGCTCCCAGCAGCTTTGAAAGAACAAGCAAGTGTTTCATCTCCTGCAGGGTAATTGGAGCTGTTTAAGTGCTTTCCGTGGAAAGCAGATTCTTTCCAATTAAGGACTGGGCTGCTGATTTCACACTTGAAGAATTTGTCAGGGAAGAGTTGGTGTGGCTGTGCCTGCACTTCTGAGGGTCAGGATGGGTGGGCAGGGACAGGTCACCCCCTCCAGGGCCAGGCAGCTCCGTAGCCTTGGACAGAGCTGGAGGTGCCCCTTGTTCATCCCATGGGCAGTGATCCATAGGGATCACTCCCTGCCAGGGATGAATTTGGGGTGCTGGAGCTGCTTGAAAACTCCAGGGCACAGAAAGAGGCAGGGCAGGGACCCCAGGGAGTGGGGAGGGACAGCTGGGCTGGGCTCTGCCCCGGAGCTCCTGGACATTGGCATCCAAACAAGGTTCCAGCTCCTTTATTAAATAGCCTGGAGTTGCTTTCCTCATTAAATAGCTTGGGATGGCTTTCCTCACAGGGATGAGGAGCTCCAGTGTCCTCAGTGGGACACTGCAGCCAGGATTGATCCCAAAGCAGGGGATCTCAGCAGAGCTGCCCGTGAGCCCCAGGGCTTCCCAGAGCTGGGAACGACCTGTGTGTGTTGTCTTGGTGGTGTTCCATGCCTTTGGAAATAGGGATTCTGTGTTGCTTAGCACGGGTTTAAGCAGCAGCTCCCTTTGGAGTATGCAGTCTGGGGACACAGTTTAATGGGATTTTTTTTCTGTGCAGATAGGACATTTACCTCTTGTTCTGGGTGGCTCATCTTGGGTGCTTTCTCAGTGGGAATTAACCATTTTTATGGATCTCCTGCTGCCTAGGACATCCCAGTCCTCCATCCCAGAGGCTGGTATCCAAAGCTGAGCACCAGTGCATTTATCCAGCACACAAGATGAGGGATTTAAGGTACCAGGGACATGAGCTGGACCATAAATCACAGGTTATTCCAAATACCAGAAGGAATACTGGAATATCAGCTGCCTATTGCATATTTGGATTGCACAGGGGTGGGTGCAATGCTTGGGGATGTTTGCAGAGGGAGAGTGTCGGAATCTGAGGTATTGATGATTCTGAGATTGTAGAAAGTCTCTGTCTGTCAGCCCCGCTGCCAAAGCAGAAGCCATAATTGGTCTGTGCTGGTTTCCAGGTTGTTTATTCTGTTTATCTCTCACATGTTCTGCTGCCCTGCCCAGCTCTGTCCTGCAGGGCAGCGTGTGGGGCTCTGCCCTCAGTGGGATGTTACAAACATTAAATACCAGAAACTCCCTGGGCTGCATTTACAAGAACGTGCCAATATCTGTCACCTACGTTGGACAGTGTGTCCCCAGCCTGAACCAACAGAAAAATGCCAACACCACAGTGAAACATGGAGGGCATGAAGAAGGAGAAAAAGGACAAGGCACACCCAATTTCCTCCATCTTGTCCCCTTTGGACCCCTCATCTAGAATCCTAAAATTTTACTTTTGCACCCGTGCCACACTTAATTATTACTGATATCAAACACTCAGAGCTTGTAATTGATCCTGTAAGATGGAAAACTCTTTTCCATGGACAGAGATCACAGCCAGTGTCTCTGGGGGCTCTGTCCAGGGGGGTTCCTGACCCCTGCCAGGGTCCCAGACCTGCCAGGGCAGCCAGAGGGAAGCTCTGGATTCCCACAGGAGAGGAGCCTTGGGGAATTGTTCATGATCCTGATGGGAAGAGCAGGGGATGAGCAGTGGGCAGATTCCTGGCTGGGACAAGCCGGGGAGGAGGCTTTGGCAAGCCCAGTGCCATGAGATCAGCACCCAGCAATTCCCCCTGGCACGCGGCTTCCCGGGAATACTGCAGGGACAGGCCCACTGGCAGGGAACAGCAGCCTGCCTCTAGATTCTCCCAAAGAGGGTTAGGCCTTCTCATTCCTGGCTCACAGAGTCAGTCCAGAATCCAGGAGAGAGTTTTGGCAAGGGAAGACTGGGGGTGGTAAAAGCTGGAAGGTGTCCCTGCCATGGAGTGGTTTGGAACTGGAGATTTAAGGTCCCATGCAACCCAAACCATTCTGGGATTCAGTGCAGGATTTTCTCCTCCAAAAACAAAAGCTCATCCCCCAGCTTCCATGGAAAAACCAGGAGTGCAAACAGAACGGAATTATTTCTGACAAACACAGCCAGGTGCTGAATTAACCTGGATCCTTCTCATCCCACCTGACACAAATCCCAAGGGTGCTCCGGGATCCTTGAGGCTCTGTGGATTCCAGAAGGTCTGGCCCAGCTGAGTGGCTCTGGGCACTTTTGCAAGGTCTCCCCCACCACTTTTCTCCCAGATCTGGAAAAACACCTCTGGCATGGTTGGGTTTGATTTTCCCTGTCGTTGATGCTGCAGGTTTGTGGATGGGGAAGAATCCTAGCTATGGTACAAGGCCAGAGTCTCCCCATGCTCTGCTGTGCCACTGTGACTGTGCTCTCCTCTCCCCACGCCTGCCAGGTTTTTATACCACAGCTGATATTTTGCTTATCCCCTTTTCCACTTCTTCCAGGGGCTTGTTGGCTGTGAGCAGTGGCAGAAGAGGAAAGTGCTGCTAAGACCATGATGTCCCTGGGTGTCGCTAAAGGTAATTCTTTCCTCCCCTGGTTTTCCTCAGTTTCCTCTGCCCAGCTGGAGCTGCTGGAATGTCTCTGCTAGGACAGGCCACCAGGGAGGTGTTTTTGTGAGGTGTGAAACTCTGTGTGAACCTCTGGGATCCACCGGGTTGCTGATCCCGAGGTCTGGATGGCCACGTCTCCATCTTCCATCAGAGCTGGTGAAAGTCTCACCCAGTGCTGGACCCTCTGACAGAGGGGAGAGGGCTCCATGCTGGGATGGATCCCATGTGCCCTGGGGTCCTGTGAGTCCTTCCCTCCCTGCCCCTGTTCTCCCAGGAGGGCTGATCCTGCCCACGGACGAGGATCGCCGCAGGATCATCCGGCAGATGAAGGTTCGCACCACCCTGCGGGGGGACAAGAGCTGGATCCAGCACCACAACTCCGACTCGGATGAGGAGAAGAGCAGCCCCCTGTAAGAACATTTCCTTCTCCTTCCCTTTCCCCATCAGAATTCCCTGAGTTGGATCACTGATCCAACCCCCAGCCCTGCAGACAGCCCAGGGATCCCACCCCGTGCCCGAGTGTCCAAACACTCCTGGAGCTCTGGGCTCTCCGGGCACCCCGGTCTCCAGCTGCACAAGATGGGCTGTGACAGGTTTTGGGGTTCCTGTGGTGCCAGGCAGTGACACTGCCAGAGGAATGTCTGCTCTGTTTATTTCTGGTAAATGCAGGGTGGGCAGGAGCTCAGACAAATATCTTCTGCTGGAGCTGGAATTCAGCAGCACAGACAGATTGGAAGGCTCAGGAGAGCTCCAAAGTTTTGTGAAGCCAGATTGTGCTTCAGCATCTTGGAGTGATAAACTCAGGGCAGGCCTGGATGGAGGGAGTTTGGGATGGAAGAGGCAGGAGATCAAACAGTTCCCTGGATGTCACACAGTGCCCTGTGCCAGGGAGCACCAGTCTGCTCCAGCTCCTCTTGGGAACAAACCCAGCTCCACATCCCCCTTTCTCTTCCCCTCTCTCCAAACCCATGCTCAGCAATCAGTTAACCACATCCTTGTGTTTCCTGTTCCCTCAGGTCTGGACAGGCTGGTAGAGGATCCCCAGCCCCCAAACCTGCTGCTCCCCAGCAGGACAGGTAATTCCAGGGGCCCATCCTGCTCCTTCCCTGCTCTGCTGTCTGCTGGGGTCGGTGCAAGCCATCGCTGTGTGCCCCCTCAGCTCCTGCTGCCAGCACAGCTCTGGGCACTGCCCTGCTCCCGGGGATGGCTCTCCTTGGAGAGAGCACAGATTGGCTCCTGAGAGCTCCAGCAGGATGCAGGGATGACTTGAATTCAGAGGAACTCAGCCTTTGAGCCACTGATGCCACAAGGCTGGGATGGGACATCAGCTGCTGTGCTGGTGCAGCCCCTCAGTGCTCCAAGCAGGGGCTGCTCAGGGCAGGGGGAGCCCTGGGTGGGGCTGAGTTTGGTTCAGAGCACGAGGGGTCTCCAGGAACTCCGGAGCTTGGAGCAATATCCTGAAATACCAAACTCCTGGGAAGGGCCTGGCCCTGTGGGAGAGCTCTGCCCTCTCCCCTGAGCACTTCCCTGCTTCCCTTTCCCTGTTTCTCCTGGTCAGACAGTGATCCCCAGAGGAGCCACGCTGTGCTGCCTCCTGGGAATGCACCTCGGAGGAGTTGGAGTGCAGCTGTTGCTCTCCAGTGACAAAATCATCAGGATCTGCATCACGTCTGATTTCCCTCTCCTGTGCCACCAACCTGGGCTAGAGAACACAGACAACACATGGCTAATATTAATTGGCTCACTCTAAAATTAATTTTCCCTATAAAAAAATAATTTATAGACCTTGTTCTGTTGATTATTCATTTGAAAACATCCCTCCAGCTGTGGGATCCCTCCAGGCCTGCTTAGCTGGATTTTTGGTTTGACATGCATGTGGACATTCCCCTTCAATCCTGGTGCTGCTGCTGTTGTTTTCCCTGTGTATTTTACTCCCTAATGTCTGTTCTTTGCACAGGTCCTCTGCCTCCAAGCCCCAGTCCGGATACCTCATCAGGTGGGTATGGAATGGGAGAGATCTGGGCTGCAGGGGGAGGAGAACTGGATCAGGGGCAGCAAATGTTCCCTCCTGGCTTCTCTCAGCTGGGAACATCCCAGTGCTCAGGGTCAGGAGCCAGCCCTGTTGTTTCACTGCTGGTTTGAACTTGGCTCCAAACATTTTCCAGCCAAAAATGTAAGATGTCCCTTCCCTCCCCAGGGGGGTGTTCACCAGGACCATCGATAAAAGCTCGTCCACGACGGATTCTTCACCTTCCAGCCAAGCACAGAAAAAGTACGAGTGTGTCCCCCTGTCCCCTCCTGAAAAGGAGGCAGATGCTGCCCTCCAGCTGAGCAGCATTCCCTGCAATCAGCGTGGGGATATTTGGGGTGATGCTGTTGTCCCCCTCCCTGTGGAGCTCCCCTGGGGAGGGATGGGAAGGTCACATTCCCAGGCGTGGTTTGTGTCCCCCCAGCACTTCCCTGAAGGGACAGAGCCGCTCCCCCTCCGGATACAGGATGACCACAGAGGACTACAAGAAACTGTGAGTGGGAAAAGGGAGCAGCTCCTCCTGTCCCTGCTCAGTGTGAACCCTGGGAATGCCCCTGGAGCTTCCAGAGCTCCCAATGGACGCTGCAGGGGTTCCCAGGGCCACCTCTCTGTGGGCCAGGAGGTGCTCCTTGAGCTGACACTGGCCTTTGCACGAAGGGGATTTTATCACCAGGCAGGAATGGAGGGTGAAGCTTGGGAACTGGGTTTGGAGCTTTCCTGAAGCTTGGAGAAAGGCAGGGCAGCACTGTGGGTGTTTCCTGCCCAGCTTTTTGTGTCCCAGAGCATGGCTCTGATCCCAAATGGGGCTGGGGCCTCAAAGGTCCTTCAGGGCCATGTGCACCCCTATGGAAAATACAGGTGTCTTCCAGGCTCTGAAGCAGTCCCTTGGGTTCTGTTTGGCTCCTGCTGTCTCTGCCCCAGGCAGAGCAGCAATTCCCTGACCCTGGCTCTCCCTTCCCTCCCTCCCCAGAGCTCCGTACAACGTCCGGCAGAAATCCGCTGACGGGGAGGAGGAGGATGTGCCTTTTTCCCCGGATGAGCACAAGAAGAGGTGAGGCCTGGAGGCACCTGCAGGGACAGTGACCAGTTCTGTTCCATCCTGGAGGCTTGGTGGATCCAGGCAGGGCTCAGGGCTGGGTGCAGTCCGAGGATAATCACAGCTCTCCCTGCCCCGAGCCCCGCTCTGCCCAGGGGCCAGCGTGCTCCCAGCAGAACGGCGTTAAAATCCTGACGTGATCCAGCCTGACAGCTCGGCCCAATTTCCCAGGCAGCTGGGAGGGCTGTGGGATCCCTGGGCTGCCTTGTGTCCGTGGGGAAGATGGAGATGCACAAACAGGCAGGAGGGAGGAGCCCGGCTCCCCCCACTGTGGGTGCGCCCCGGGATCACTCCAGGACTGGCACCCGAGGTCAGCTCCAGGCAGGGCTGTCCTTCTCCTACTGGGAATAGGATCAGAGAATCATCCCGGAATGGTTTGGGTGGAAGAGACCTCAAAGCCCATCCAGTGCCACCCCTGCCATGGGCAGAGACATCTTCCACTGCCCCAGGCTGCTCCCAGCCCTGTCCAGCCTGGCCTTGGCACTGCCAGGGGTGGGGAACAGGAACAGGAACAGGTCTGGTCTCTCTGGCTTCAGCCTCGTTGCTTTTGGTGGAATTTCTGAGGACCCTTTTCCTCAGCCACAAGGCTTGTACAAAGGAAAACTTGGTCTTTGTCCCCTGGGGTCCAACCACTAAAGAGCTGGAGAGGGACGTTGGATAAGGGATGGAGGGACAGGACGCAGGGAATTTCTGACTTCCCACTGCCAGAGGGCAGGGAGGGATGGAATATTGGGATGGAATTGTTCCTGTGAGGGTGAGCAGGCCCTGGAACAGGGTTCCCAGAGCAGCTGTGGCTGCCCCTGGATCCCTGGCAGTGATCCCTTCTCTTGGGACACATGGTAGTACCCAGGTCAGTGCAGAGACTCCATGGAGTGTGTCAGCCACAGAATCCATATCCCATTTTTCTGTCCATGGAATGCAGTATTGCAGCAGTCCAGGTCTGCAGTGGATGGTCCAGGCCTGGCACAGCTGCCCAGGGCAGTGGTGGAATCCCCATCCCTGGAAGTGTTTTAAAAAGCCTCTGGCTGTGGCACTTGAGGACGTGTGTTATGGTGACCATGGTGGTGGTGCTGGCTGATGCTTGGACTGGGTGATTTTTCTCAGGGTCTGGGTGTCAGGATGACCCCAAGATTGTAAAAGTCCTCATTTCCCAGCCTGTGCAGCCAAAGAAGGAGTCTGAATGTGTAGGATTGGTTTCTCAAGGTTGATTATTTTGCCTTATCTATCACATTCTTTCTCTGCCTGCTGAGCTCTGCCCAGCAGGTCGGCCATGGCATTCTGTCTGCCCTTAGGGCAGTGTTTACATTTTATACTAAAAGCTGCGTGTGCTATGTTTACAATAACGTGCCAATATCTGTCATTTATGTTAGACAGTGTGTCCCTACCTTAAACCAAGGGAAAAGTGTCACCATCACAGCAAGACATGGAGGGAAGAATAAGGAGAAAAAGGCCAGGACATGCCCAAATCCCTCTATCTTGTACCCCTGATTCCCATTCTAAAAACACCAAAATTCTACTTTTTCACCCTGTGTTAATCCAACTACCACACTACTCAAACCCTTGTGGCTTGTAATTCCTCATATAAAATTGGCAGTTTTTCTCACTGGCTAAAATTGAAGCCACGGATGTTTTTGACTTCGTGTCAGGGTCTCTGAGTCCCCTGCCAGGGTCTGGAGGCAGCCAGAGGGATGTCCTGGACTCCGACAGATTTTAAAGGCCTTTTCCAACCTTACCCATTCCACGGTTCCATGCAATCTGCTCCCCAGAGTGCAGGAGCTGGTTCAGGGTTAGCCCAGCCTCCAGTGGGTTTTTCCTGCCCGTCCAAGGCTGCAGGCAGGCGGGAGCACTGGGATGAGCAGGGTGTGACCCGTCCCTTGCTGTCCCCCTCCCCTCCAGGACGGAGGCTGCCAACAGCGTCCTGCGGCGCTCGGCCGGCCGCGAGCGCGCCTACGTCCTGTCCGCGGCCAAGAAGAGCAACGGGTGAGTTCCAGAGGGTGGCAATGGCACAGGAGCCAGGGAAGGGCTGCTGGAGCTGGAGGGAGCCTCTCCAACACAGCAGGACAGGCCATGGGTGCTGCAAGGGCTGGAGCTTCTTCGCTACAAGGAAAGAGCTGGGGGTGCTCAAGCCTCAATGCCTGAAAATCCCTGATGTCATCCTCGCTGTGCTGCTGGGAGCCAGGGCTGGGCCATCAGCCCTGCTCCAGCACATCCCGATGGGATGGGATGGGCTGGCATGGCATGGGATGGCATGGGATGGCATGGGATGGCATGGGATGGGATGGGATGGGATGGGATGGGATGGGATGGGATGGCATGGGATGGGATATTTGCCCATCATCCCACAGCAGGAGCTTTCCCTTCCAGCTGTGCCTGAATCAGGGACAGGGATTCTGATGGGGGCTTGGCTGGGCCTTCATCACCTCCAGAGCTGCTCCAGGGCTGGAGCCCCTCTGGAGCCAGGCTGGGAGAGCTGGGGGTGCTCCCCTGGGGAGGAGGAGCTCCAGGGAGAGCTCAGAGCCCTGCAGGGCCTGAGGGGCTCCAGGAGAGCTGGAGAGGGGCTGGGGACAGGGGATGGAGGGACAGGACACAGGGAATGGCTCCCACTGCCACAGGGCAGGGAT